AGCAGGAATTTTAAGCGGTTCTGCAAACCAAAAGACTACAGATCAAAAGAGTATGGAAGAAGTACTACGATTGCGTCTCAGAAATGTAGCAGAGCTCGGGTTGGAAAATTTGCCGCTTACGGAGCAGGACTTGGATTCCTTATCCCCAGAAACGCTGCAATACCGAACCGCGAGCCTCTCTCTCGATATTCTAGAACGATTATCTATCGATGAACAGAAGGGAAAAGATCTGGATCTTAGCCTCAGTCAACAAGGAACTTTGAAAACATTGGTGGCTATCCTATTCCGGTGGAAAGTAGCAAGCGATACGGAGAAATTCAACAATTCTACTGACTCGGAACGTACTGGGGCACAACACACATTGGTCGAGACGACTACGCGTCTCCTTCGAATCATATTCCCAGATGATAAAGAGGACCCAGCACCACAAAAGGCAAACCAAATCGGAACGATCCTCTTACACAATTCTATTCCTGAAATACTACCAGCAGTGTTCTCCCTGGGTTGGTTACCACGAGGTGAATGCACAGAAGGAACCCATATACGAGCTAGCACTATTCGCATCCTAAATAGGTAGGCCTCCCTTATAAACTTACCTCGTCTGAAGATACACTTCTGTGATCCTTTGGTAGTTTCACACTAACCGAGACTATGCAAATGCTTGGAGCCACACTTAATACACCATTACCAAGAACGGCGCAAAGTGCCATTCAGTACCTCCTCAGTCGGAGGATACTATGGCCCAAAGGAGTCAGTTCTCTCCTCTCCGTCATGCTCGCATCAGAAGGGTCGGAAGAGTCGGAGGATCACGACGAGGGAAACAGGCTCCATCGATATGAAGAAGTCACAACCTTGCTATCTAGACCTCCGAAAGGCACTAATCCAGAGGTATGTATTCAATTTGCTCTTTGGATACGTCTTCTAACAAAGCGAGTTTAGAAATACTTTGAGAACGTCGTACCCCAAATGCTAGACATTCTACATAATGAAGGCAAGGGCTCGACTTCTCAACAAGCAGTCTCTTTTGTCCTTTCCAATCTCATGTCATCCAGAACCACCGGAAAACTCGTCACATCCATAGCCGCCAGCGCTTTGTACGCCGGTTTTGAGGAAAAGAAGGACTCTACTACCAGCAAAGAGACGCCAGCACCCTACTCACCCTCTGATACCATTACAATCCTTTCCAACTTTCTCGCTACAGCTCCCCCATTAGGAGACGTACCTCTCGCCTCTGATCTTTTGAACCCCATTGTAGAGAAGCTATACTCGCTACTCTTCTACTTTGAGAACAAGGCCATCTCGGACCCTACAGAAATCTCTACATGCAAGGGACTACTAATCAGCTGGACGAAATTGGCTCCCGCAACGGACGTGTCCGACAAGCTCTGGTCGATTGTCCAAGGCGCAGGTGGAGAGTGGAAGATGGATGCTGTAGGAGACGAAGGCGATTTGAAACTCTCGTGGAGACAAGAGTAAGCAGTTTAAACTATTCTGACGTCTGCTCACAGTGAAATATAGGATAATTTTGGAGACTCCCAAGCTGGGAGACCTATCCAATCTTGAAAAGGACGCGATGGACTTTAATTTGCTTCACTTAAGACCAGATCCGATACATCTTGTTGGACTTGTCAAGACGCTTAATCGAAAAGAGGTCGCCTCGCTCTTCTTTATTCGCTTGCTCTCAGCAGAGCATGATGACCTTTCAGAGGTCGATCCCACAAGGTAATCACTGTTGTATTTCATTTCGAGTTTTACTCACTATCGCATAGAAAGCTGCTACGGATGCAGATTATCTATCAGCTGCAGAAACAACTACCTTCGTCCATTCTCAGTAATCCAGA